TGATGAAAAAAAACTTTGAAATGCCATTTACAAAACTAATGTCAACTCCCCATAACTTGATGCAATATGATAAATGAAAATAGACTTGAAAATATTAATTTTTCACCAGTGAACTACTGATTACTGTATGTTTAAGACATTCCCTGCTTCATGGTCAAATGAGAATTATAAAAGATCCTATGTAATGATTTGGAATCAGTGGATTTCTGGTTTATGATCTTAACAACGGTAATAGTATTGCAATTATGCAATGTTAATAGAGCATTAACAAATATGCAATGTTAAGTTTGGGAATATTTATACTATTGAGCCCATAATAAACACCACTGAGGTAGACAGAGCCATCAACCACTATTGTGCTGCACTCTGGATATCTGGAGTGGTAATCTATTGCACACAAAAAAATTCCCTCCTATTTTATACTTTGAAACAGTTATTGCACACTGTTTCCTTTCTCACTTCCAAACAAGTTTACCAGATGCAAATTTGCTGCTGGTTGTCGATTAATCATCTATGATTCCTGGAAGTGCTGTTCATTTATAATGTATCATTGCTCATTGGCTGTCTCTGGCATAATGTTAAATCATTCTACATTATTGATGGTAAATATGTAGGTAAGCAATTCTGTGGGAGGAGAAAAAGTGTTGTTTCCTGTAATTAGATTAAGGTTTGGCAGTGGGTGTACACTACAAGTGGTAAGCAAAACGATCTGCGGGGTGGTGGTCAGCATCTGAAGGGCTAACAAGAGCCTATTAAATCTCTTGAGGCTGTTATTATTAGGTTCCGGCCTCTTCATCAGTTCTTTCGTTCTCAAGGCTCACATTGGGACCTCACATTTGATGTAGGGTTCTTCCAGCCTTCAGGTGCAGACAATTCCTATTTTTTCTTTTCATTTGTCATTCGGAGGCCTCCGGCACTATAGAAACGTCCACAGCTTTTTCTAAGATTAATTCAATGTCTCCGAGTCTATCTCTATCTATCTCTATCTGACTACCTGATGCACAAACTATTACGCTTCCAAATACACAATCACGTCATTCTCTAAACTTGCAGGGTAGTGACACAAGTTTTATGCCTGTCACTTATTAGTAAACGTTTTGATTTAACTCTTGCAACCCAGTATTAAACTCATTGTGGAGTCTTGTACCTCAGTGGTTGGAGCACTCGCCTTGTAAATGAGAGATCTGAGTTCAAGTCCCAGCAGGGTAAAATATTGGGCATGTTTCCTTACTCCACACGCCTTACCTAGCGATAAGTAGGAACCCGATTCTTAGTTGATTGGCAGATCGCTTTTCTGGGGGAATTATTTTTTTTAAAAAAAATTGGTCATTTCAATCCACGACTGTTTGTGGGACACTGCTGTGTGCAATTGGCTGCCACGTTTTTCCCCAAAAATATACAGTCAAATCACTTTACAATATATTCTATGAAGCGCTTTGAGATGTCTTGAAGACATGATAAGGCGCTATATCAAATGCAAGGATTATTATTATTATGTCTCAGAAGTTAATTTTGTTTTCAACTTTGCCAATTTTTCCCACAATTCACAACCTACTTCAGGCACCATGGATCAGGTTTGGGGTCAAAATATTACAGAACTTGGGCAACATTGTTCTTTAGTTAAAGGCTTCGCTACAAAGTTTTGCTTCACTCTGTATTACTGAGTCTGATAATGATCCACATGAACAGCTTTACTTAATTTTACTAACTTATTAACTCCAAAAACAAGTCATTGTTATTGCAGATGGCACCCAGAGGTACCTGAAGTTACAGTGTTATCTCAGCAACCACTGAGCACAGGAGTTGATAAAACAGTCAACCTTGTCATGGCCCATGGAAGAAAAAAACACTTGTGCCTTTGTACACCTATGTGTTTGTTAATAAAGACTTAGGTTATAAAAATGATAGTGAGCAAATTAAACTGGATTTGGTATCATTGATCGTTTTGGATACTATGCTATCAATGATCTGACCTTCACCAACTATACAATTCTCTACTTATGTGTTATGTGTTATGAAATGATAAATGCAGGTGAACCCAAGCTCTCATCCAGAAAAATCCATACTTCCCATGGATTGGAGAAAGAAGCTTTATGACTGGGTTTTTAACTACAGACATAGTACTCTTCCCTGAGAGTTCCTTTGTAAAACAATCAATGAGACACTGACATGTCATATCCTTTCAGTCCAATTTTCCTCCCTTTTCCCATACATAGCGACAAAAAGATAAGACTAAAGATGATTTATACAACTAAGCTGTTCTGGTGGCAATTACGTTGCTCTTGGGGACAATTGTACATTAAATAAGTAAATAAGTTCAACAAAGCGAAACAAATATTAAATCATGTTCCACAAACGGGCGTGAAGTGACTGATCGATGTTATCTGGGGTTGACCAGGGCACTGGGAAAAACTCTCTTTATGCCATAGAAAGGACGATCAAAGAGTCCAATCTGATAGGGATATAGTTTAAAACTATTCCCAGGAGTTAACTGAATAGCATTCATAATATGCATATCTAGTGGTCAAATCTGTGCCTAATGTCTGTGGAAAGAAATGCTGGATGTTAATAATTGTCTCTGAGTATGGGGAAAATGGGATTGAAAGGATTGCTCTTAAAAGAGCCAGGGCAGACACAATGGGCTGAATGGGCTTCTTGTGTGCCGTAAATTTCTATGGTTCTATCGAGTAGTTTATGCTATTGTTACCATAGTAATCAATGACTTGTACAGAATGCTTTCCAAATCTCTCTCAAAAAAACTTCTGGGTAACTTCTTTCTCATTACACGTTACAAGCAAATTATAACTATGTTGTGCTATTTTAAAGAGAACGTGTTGACAATTTGGACTGATCAAAATGAGAATAATGACATACTGAGAAAATTATTTCTGGAAGTCAATGTTGCCAGGCAACAAATTCAATAAGTACAAAAACAGAAGAAGACATTACTCAGATCAAAGATGGGTTCCTGTGTTTTTCAGGTGGCTGAATGAACAGTCCTGTTACAGTGGGTGCAGTGAGAAATGATCTTAACTAATCCAGTAAATAGCCTAAATAGCAAGGCAAGAATTGAATGTTCACAACATTAGTTCTGGAGAGAGGGCTTTGACAATAATAATATAATCCTTGCATTTGGTAAAGTGCCTTTTGGTTCACAGGATTTTTTGTGAAATGTAGTGCCTGTGTATTTGTAGGCATATGTGCAGACAGTATGCACACAACAATGTCCCACAGTCAAGAAGTGAATGACCAATTTTATCTAAGGGATTGTTTGTGAGGATTCTAGGAGAAACTCCCTTCTCTTTAACGTGCACCTGAACAGGCAGATGGGACCTTAGTTTAACAACTCATCCAAAGGATGACACTTCCAACAATGTAGCAAACCCCAGCACTGAATTAGAGTGTCAGCCATGACTGCGAGTTCAAAGTCCCGACGTGGGAATAAGGGTTAGACTGGAATTTTGTATCATGTGTGGTATTTAATATTGTATGCAAAATGGCATAATATTAAGGATTATGCATAGACCTCATGTAGTTATGTACTGTGTATAGATTAGTATGGTGTCATGTGATGTATATAATCTGTCAGTGCCATGTTTTGCGCTTAGACTGGTTTAGAGGTATGTACTGTGCTCAGATTCTCTTCGCCTCAGTTTCACTCCAGGCAGCAATTTTATCAACTGAGCCATTGGCGGAGCAATACTATTTCTCTTTAGGTTTTGGTTTTGAATTATATTTACATTGTGCTTTGTGAACATCATGTTTGATGTTGTTTCTATTTTAGGTGTGAACTAATGTTAGTGATCAGGAATAAATTGTGGGGCTAATAGAAATAAAGCAATATTCTTGTTTCCACAGGTCCTGTCTTGAGGTAGGTGTGTCAGTGTGTAATCAAGCCAGACTGTGGCGGTCTCGGTAGTCCAGCTCCTGAGCCTGGCATGTCCGCAGTATAGACAGGACTTGGAAGGGCAGACCAGTCAGTGGGGCAGGGAATCCTCCCACTCAGCTCCTGTTAACCCTGCAAGCCAAAGCCCTAATGGGTAGGGTAGTCCTAGCTGGACAAGCAGTGGGAAAGCTTGCCAGACGGTGCTATCAATGCTATGTGGTTTTAGCTGGTTATTCTCCAGCAGTACTCCAACACACACTCTGGGGTCCCCAAAACTTGGCTCTTGCCGATCTGCGCCTAATACTGTCTGGAATTAGGTAAGCACGATGCATCCCTCTAGAGAGAGAGGGTGCATTCCATTCCAACGATCTATCGCCGGGATTTCCATGTGAAGTTGGGATGCATGGAATTCTCAGTTTGGTTTGGATACTGTTAAGCATGGTGATGGGTTTCCACATGTGTCATATACCCAGCTGACCAAAAAAAGTTGTTGTGTACACAATTAAGTAAATTGTAACTGCAGTAAAGTATTTGGTGCAAATTTACTGCATTGCCTTTAATATCAGCAATTAAAAAAAGCAAATACAACTTCTAAGCTAGGCAAAATTTGAGTCGCAGAGCCTGTACTGGAGAACTCTCAGAATGACTAAGCTAAGCTTACTCATCTACTAATAATGAGAAATCATCAGCATTTGATGATAAAGAATTCCACTCTACGCAGAAAAACTTCTGGGTCTAACTTGCACGGTTTGCAAAAAGATTAGAAACTAACAAATCCCAAATATGCTGGTACTGATTTCACAGTCATCAAAACTGATCAGTTTGAAAGACAAGTCAAGGGGGTCGGCTGAGACACATTCAAAAAGGCAATTTGTGCCCAGCAATGTCCCCAAACAGTCATGAGTTGAATGACCAATTTTATCTGAAGGGATTGTTGGTTAGGACACTGGAAGAAACTCCCTTCTCTTTTTGAATAGTGCCATGGGATCTTTAACGTCCACCTGACCAGGCACAAAGGGATTCGGTTTAACATATGTTGTAACTGAAAGTTAAATTACATGAGAAAGAAAGTAGGGAGAATGAAGATACATAGAGAAGTAACATTTTTCATGCATTTCAGTTTTATTTCAAATTGTTGATAGAGAAAACAGATTTCAACAGTATTACACAATATTTATTACACTAATAAAGCTACTCCTGACATCTGTGTAGTTTTATTTCTGCAACGAGTCTCAATGCCACTGCATGACAGCTAAAACCTGTATAAAAAACAGCCAGCCCGGGAAGCACAGAATTCCCTGGTCCTCAGCTGGTCTAACAGTTAAAAATGGGACTGCTTCATGGAGTTAAACAAAGAGCCACGTTGCTATATCGGTTTCAGAAAGGTATTGACAGGAAAATATAAAAACAATAACAATATATAAAAATAACTTAGTTTAATGAGCATCAATAGATTTCTTTCTCTGTAATAAGGAAATTAACTCTAGATGGCACAAAAAAGGGTGGAGAAAAAGCAAATATTTTTCAAGACATGTACAGTGAGTATCATTCATATCAGAGACACGCAAGCACAATGTATTGAAAGTGATTGAAAAATACATTGTTGGATGGAAAATATTAAAGAACAAAGTTCATTATTTGTTACAATTTAAAAAAATTAGATTTTATTCACTGGTAAAAAAAACATATTTCCCCCTCTCATTTCAAATTTTGTTTCCAGGAATTGTCCTAATGTTAATTAATTATTAAACTCACACAACATGGCTAAACTCACACAACACTGAGGAAGAAAGCCCCCCCTCCCCTTCAATTTTAATTTACAGTGTACATTTATCTTGCAGCAGCTTCCTGTTCAGTGATCAACAGCTTTCAGGATTTCGGAGGCCAAGGATGCAACAGCAATGTCAGCACGTGAGCTGGAAAAAAAAGCCATCATGGTGTGAATAACCTGAAGAGATATAGCATCCCACACTACAGACTGAAACATCGATGCCAGCTTCGCTCAGTTGGTAGCACTCATGCCTGGCTCATAAATTGTGGGTTCAAGCCCCACTTGGGTAGTTTGACACTAATGCAGCACTGGGGAGTGGTGTTTTGGCAGAGTCTGTCGTCTCTTCAGGCAGACATTAAAAATTTCAATGGCACTATTCGAAAAGAAAAGGGAATTTTTCCCGATATCCTGGCCAACAAGCTCTCAGATCAAAACAATTGGTTATTCACCTCATGGTTGTTTGTGGGACATAGCTGTGGGCAAATTGGCTGTTGTATTCCCCTACAAATACACAGTGTCTTTAGTGCTATGAGATTTTTGCTGTCCATCTGAATAGGCAGATGGGACCTTGGTTTAATGTTTCATCTAAAAGAGGTATGTCCAGCAACACACACTTTACAAAAAAAGAACTCTGTGTAGAGATGCTAAGTGCTCCGAGGGAAAAGGTGCTATATGGAGTCCTGTAGCTCAGTGGTTAGAGCACTCGCTTTGCAAATGAGAGACCTGAGTTCAATTCCAGGCAGAGGGCGAAACCTTGGGCAAGTTTCCTTATTCCACACACCTAATAATAATCCCTCCAAAAAAAACAAAACAATAATAAATTGGTCATTTTCAATCTACGACTGTTTGTGGGACACTGCTGTGCGCAATTGGCTGCCGCGTTCGCCCACAAATATACAGTCAATTCACTTTACAGTGTGTTCTGTGAAGCGCTTTGGGACGTCCTCCCGACGTGAAAAGCGCTATATCAAATGCAAGGATTATTATTATTGTTATATAAATGCTAGGTTTTGTTGTTGCTGTTGTGTAGTTTTGACATAATAAGACACAATATCAATGCAAGAAATATTATTATCAAATGCAACCAAATCACACTTGGACAACAGGGTTGGAGGAAACAGTAGCGATGTTCAGAGTGGTATGAAAATGATCAGATGGTTTAACATTAGAAATAAGAACCGTTAAGCATAAAAACATTTGTATTAATTGCCATAAAAACCCAAACCTTTTTTGTGCCAATTCTCTCTCTTCCCCCCCAAGGCCCTAACTCTTGCTGGGGGCCAGTCGCCAAACCAAGTGATCATTGCTCATGTGTGAGTCTGGACAGAGAGTTTTGGCAAACTATTTAATTATGCATCACAGCTGAGCCCAATCCTGATCTCTAATATCCAGATTTTCCAGCAGGGAGTCTCTTCATAAATAATTTTAAAAATCTTTGCAGTTGATACTCTCAGCTTGGCTCAGTGGTAGCACTCTTGCCTCCGAGTCAGAAGGCTGTAGGTTCAAGCCCCACATTGGGACTTGGAATCACATTGTCTAAGCTGACACTCCACTGCAGTGTTGGAAAGGTGCTGCAATGTTGGAGGCACCTTTCTTCGGATGAGACGTTAAACCGAGGATCCATTGTCTGTTCAAGTGGACATTAAAGATCCCATGGCACTGTTTGAAAAGAGAAAGGAGTTTCTCCCAGTGTCTGGGTCAACAATCCCCGCAAATAAAATTGGTCATTCGCTCCATGGCTGTTTTGGGGACATTGCTGTGTGCAAAACTGGCTGCTGCATTTTTCCCACAAAATACACACTTTCCAGTATATCCTGTGAAGCACTTTGAGATGAGAGTCCTACCAAGTAAGCTTGGTTGACATCTAAATACCCTATAGTAATAAGGGAGTTTGTCACTTTGTGTGACAATTGTAGGGACTAAGATCAACTAACTCAGCTCAGAAGAGGGTTCAGTTCTGTGTCTTTCTGTTTCTTTGTACTGCAGCAACCAGGGCAATGCCCTTACTCCAAAAAGTGCATTTTAAACAAAATCAAAACCACTTCTGTTGCATCTGCAGAACATAAAATGTAGAAATAAATAATGTATTAAATCCTAAATTTATTCGGTTGACAGGAGCCTACCCCTAACTCACTTGCGATATATCAGGTTTTAGAAGTTGAATCAGCTGGATAATTGCATTTCCCATTGTTTGTACTCTATCTGTATGAATTTAGTTTCCTTTTGTGCTGCAATCAGTTACTTGAATGCAACAGCAGTGACTGCTGGGCTTTTATGAAAGGAGCACTTGATACAATCATGTATCATTCTGCAATACTGCAAAAAGAAAACACTGTGCAACAGTATCATGTTTATGGAGTAAAGAACAACTTTCTAGACATTGTTGAACCTTTTAAAGTACTTTGGTTGCTATTTAAGACAAAGGTATAATGTTACTGTAATGAAAACAATGTCAAAGTTTCTGCACTTATGACAAACTAATAATCACTGGGACAAGGATTCTTCCACTCAACTCCTATTAACCCTGGAAGCCAAAGCCCCAACGAGATACGCTCACCATGTCAAATCAGTGTGAGGCAGCAATAACAAGGTAAACAGGATCCTGGGCTGTACAGTATTGCCATATCAGTTGAGTTCAGATTCCCAGACGTCATACTCAAGATATACAGTCTCTGGTCAGACCGCACTAGTGTATCACATACAGTTCTGATCACAGTGAAAGCCCGAGCAAGAAGGCAAGCTATGAGGTTGTAGTTGGTTAATGGTAGTTTGAGCCGTGAGACCCGAAGGTTGGTGGGCAGCTGAGGGGCTGCCCAGTGCATGCAGAGGAGAGCGATGAGGATGATCCCAGTGTTAAAGGAGTGAGCTATGAGCAATGATTAGACAAGCTCGGGCTCTTCAGCCTTGAAATGAGACATCTCGAAGGAACCTTATAGATATATATATAAAATGTTAAATGATTGAACAACCAAGAACAATACTTTGCAAAAGCCAAGTTCAGTACAGATACCAGGAAGTTTTTCAGTTTGCCACAAAATAATGGATAAAGCCAGGCCACTGGGCTCATTTAAAGAAACAGCTTGATGCTGTGATGGGGATAACAATAGGGTGGGAGTTCTGGAGGATGAGATCAGATGGGCTGAAGATGAACTAACTGACGTTGGATTAAAAATAAAGAAAAAATAATTCAGAGTACAGCACTCCGGGTACAAATATAAACTTGTTTCAATATCCCTAATGTCTATATTATCTATCCAATTACATGTGAACAGCATCACTACTAAATACCATTCACTCAGATTTGTACTTAATAATGATAGTAATCCTTTAATTTAATATAGCGCTTTATCACATAGTTGAGACGATCAAAGCGCTTCACAAAATATATTGTATATTGCCTGTGTATTTGTGGGCACAGTAGCCAATTGCACACAACAGTGTCCCACAAACAGTCGTGGATCGTTTTTTTTAAACTTACAAACCCCCCACTCAGTTTCACACATAACCGTTTTATCTTTACAGTTTCATATCCCCACTTGCACTTTTCAGCAAAGGTGACTGTACAATGAATAGGATTGAGATCCCTGGATTTCTTTCCCCATTCTTGACGCTGGTGATCTGAAGCCATTTGAAGAGGCCCAACCAACTGAAATCAGGTAACTTTCCAAAGCCTGGGACCAAATCTGCAACCCTCTTGGTCTGCATGGCTCAGATCCACCAACACAGTAAATATACCGACATGGGGGTGAGTCCTCACCCAAATCACTTGCTGGTTACCATTCTGGCTTCCCGTGGGAGGAGGAAAGGGGCTGTTCTACCAACTCTCCCAATGTTACTTTTGGTATCTTGGTTAGCACATTTCCTCCCTATGTATGGGGTGGTCTCTCACTCCATGGTGAGCTATTTTAAAAAAACACCCGTTTCTCCAAAGGTAGGCTTCGTGGGGTTAAAGCTATTTTCACAATACTAATACTTACTATTTAATATTCAGGAAAACAGAGAAAAATCTGGTCTTAGGGCAGCAGATGACTGAACAATAAGCCAGTATCTGGCTGTAAATGAAAGCAACAACGTTCAGAATCTTTCATCATGGAACCCAACCCGATTTCCACTTACAAATGATCAAAGCCAACTTCAACAAAAGCAAGGAGGCTTTGAGAGGGTGGTTCAAGTACAGTCTTACTCCAGTAGCAAGCCACGGTAATATGATAGGTGTGTGTCTGGAAAAAATTGGACACTTATTCAAAGGTATGGAAATTCCTTCAGGCCTGAGGGTTCTCACCTGGCAGTCTGGACCAATTTCTTTAGGGTTTGAATAAGAGGGTCCCCTTCGTTCTTGAGGCTTTCTGTGTGTCTCTCATTAGAGCTTACCTGGCAAAGAAAGAAAGGCAGACAATTATCAGCATGACCTGGGCGGAGATACTACCTCTATAGTGGATTTGAAAACTACCCACATGTGGTGCATTGTATAAAAATATTTGGTGTCAGAACTCTGTCTCCTTTTATTAGTTCAGCTGTTTGCCAAGCCACCTTTTCAGGCTCATTTAAAGTATTGCGGAAAAAAAATAAATTATATTTTATAGCCCTTTATCCTGTCAAAATATTTCATAGTACACCAGGTAATTCCTGTCGAGTGCAGTGATTGCTTTTGGTGGCAATTGGTGTAGCCATTTGTGCCGTTAACTTATTTTTGCAATAAGGGTGGGGAAGTTTACTTTCGCAATGCCAAATCTTGTACCATTTCCCTCCCACCGCTTGCTGCACTACTAGTGGTGATATGTCTTCCTGGGATACTGTTCCAGGTTCATCATACAGCAGTTCTGCACAAGCCCATACTGAGTGACGTTCGGATATTTGACCATGCAGGGTTGGGGAGTGGGTGTTTAAAGCAACACAGTCAAGCCTGTTCCTGCTTGACAAACACACATACATAACTCCAGCAGGAGTCCCTGGATTTTTCCTCTCTGTTGGCCAGGAGCACATTATGCTGATGGAGGATCAATTATTAATGCTTATAGCTGGCTACAGCGTCTAGTTGTGGAGCAGTACAGTACAGCATTACATTGTTGTGATGATCTTTATCACCTTTCAGTAGCAATCTGTGAAGATTTAACCTATTTATCTTTCTTAATTTTCTCCCACTCCACCCTTGAATGTGATAACCCACATGGGGGAAATGTTCCACGGGCTCCGGCAGTTTTTCTCCCACGTGATCAGGATAGGCTGCTTGAGCAATTACAGCGCTTGAGGTGTGCACTTGCACGCCTCCGACAGAGAATTCCACCATCGCAAGCAGAAAGTAAAACACAGTTGAAGTCAAACTAGTTCCCTCCAGATTTTACAATAGTCGAGCATGTAACAATGTAGTAAGATGAAAGCAGCCAAGTGTTCAAGCCAGCAGCTGACTCTTAATGACAAGCCTGCATGGCCCTGACAAGCAGTGCTGGGATGCTATTGCGCGTGTTAAAAAAAACTACCAGACCAAAACCTTTCAGCTTTGAGAGCGCTAACAAATGTTACAGGGGTTGTGTGTTCTTGTTTGTGATGTCTTTGCATTTTTCTTTAATGTTGAGTTTAGCCTGTGCTCTGGCCTGTAACAGCAGCTCTGCCTGGTTGGGAGCAAAGACCAGAGCTGGCTAGTTTCCCTCCCTCCCTCCCTCCGTCTCTCCCTACCCCAGGCTAATTAAAAGCCCCGAGAGCCAGCTTGCCTGAGATGAGCTAACTCAGCACAAACTGGGGTTTGATCTGGGACCTTCCAGATTCTTTGGTTCACATCGAATCACTAAATAATTCATTCAGCCTTCGGTAGAGCTGCTCACAACATGTTTGGCAAATAGATTTTTTTAAAATTGTACCCGATTACACGGGGGGTGGGGGGGCTTGTCATTTGCGTGATTTGCAAAAGATTTTGCTAATGTGGAATTCATACTTGGATTCATAATGTCATTGAAAGAAGAGACATTTCAATAAGCATATTGGATGTATTTTATTAGATGACTTGTTTGCATTCAAAACTGTGTACTTCTGCCTAGCAGATTTTTTGTACACTTACGCTCAATTTTTACTATCCTTCTGGTGGGGGTTTGGGGGTGTGGGGGTGGTAGGTAAGTGGGTTCTCCGTGGAGCCGAGCTTGCTCTACGTGATGTGTTTAGCAACGGAATATTAGAATCAAGCCTGTCCTCTGTGGCGTCTCAAGTCCAGTTCCTGAGCCAGGCGAGTCTGCAGTATTACAGTGCACTACTGATGACAGCACAGCCAGGCTGGCAAAAATCATAGAATCATAGAATTGTACAGCACAAAAAGAGGCCATTCGGCCCATCGAGTTTGTGCCGGCTCTTTGAATAGAGCAATTAATGTCAATCCCACTCCCCAGCCCTTTCCCCATAACCCTGCAAACCCGTCCTCCTCAAATACCCATCCACCGCGTTTTTAAAAGTAGTTATCGAATCGACCTCGATCACCCTTTCAGGCAATGAGTTCGAGATTCGAACAACTTGAAATGGCAAGACTTGGAGGGATTCTTCCCACTCATCTTAAAATGGGTAAGTGGGATGGTCCGAGCTGGACAAGCAGTGCTCTTAATGGCAAGCTATGCAGTTTTAGTTGGTTAGATTCCAAAAGTACCCCTACACACACTCTGGGATTCCCAAACCTTGGCACTTGCCAACCTAGATCTAATACTCTCTGGAATTTGGTCAGCAGAATGGGGTTCCCTTTGGGGTCCCATTCCAAATCCAGGGATATTTCCATGTATAAGTGCAACTCTCAGTCTGGTTTAGATACGCTCTAAGACGCTACCCCACAAGAAAGACTCTATATAAATGCAAGTTGTTGTTATTGCTGATGCTCTTAAGCAGGGTGATGGATTTTCACATGTCAACTTTGTTTTTAAAAAGAAAACCTTTAAACCTTTAGACGAATCACTGGGGATCACCAGGCATAATGTTGCATGTAAAATGGGAAACATTGGTGGCTTCAGAGCAAATCAAGTCATGCTTCAGAAAAATAGACACAAATACAATGCTAGTTTATATTGGTCTGGTGCCCACATTGGTATGTATTTTGCCACATACTGTCTCTGGAGGTCTGCATGGCATGTAAAGAACAGACTCTGCTTTTTGTGCTACACTCCAAGCCTCTGGAATTGTAAGGTCAAAGGAATATTCAATACTTCCTCTCTCAGAAAATTGCTCACGAGAAATCTTTCCTTCACAAACATTGCCAAAATGGAAATCTGGAAAATTGGATATGACATCCTGCACAAATTCACTATTGTACTTGATGAAACTGGGATGTTAAGAATGAGCAGAAAACTTCCAATTAGGGAGTACGGCGGTGTTGATCTTATGAAGAAACGTATTGCAACTAGAAGACATTTAAGCCCTGTCTAATTGAGAATAAAACTGAGAAGCTAGATTTTTGATTTACAAGCAAAACTTAAAGAGGCACTATTTTCATGCAAATGTTTTGGCTAACTTGATTTGGTTTATTTCCCAAATACACACCGATGAGGCATGTCCATCATTGGGTCGTGAGCAGAACTCTACTGAAACAGTTTCTAGAAATTCACCAAACAACAAAAGGTTTTCGTGATAACAACACCCCTTTAACTCACAGATCATCTGTAGCCATACCAAATGTTCTAAACCAGGGGGAGGAATCACTTCCCTATGCCTCCGTCCTTTTTGATGCAAGCATTAAGTCTGCGGTTAAGGCTCCAGTCTCAAGTTATGGCAAAGCATCATTACTTTAATCCACCATTAATAACACTTGTGAATTTGGTTATAGGACGTCTGGTCACTCAGTCTACATTTAGAGAATGGAGCCAGTGGTGGTAATACAGCCCTTATACTATTTCAAAATATAGCCAGGCAGATCTAAAGTAGCTTAGACAATCAGAAACTCAGTTGTCTGTAATAAATATTTTCAAGGAATTCACTGGTTATGTTTTACAGGGTTAATGCAAAATTTAAAACTGACTGAAGGGAAAAATATAGAAAACGAAAAAAAGGTTATTCAGCTTTTGAATCATTTAGCTATGTCTTCGAACCCGCCAGAGATCATTTTCACCCCTTTGTGCCTTGTGCAGCTTGTGTGTAGTCTACAGCTCCCCATATCCTGACAAAGTCCCAGACTTCTGCCATGATGAGAGATTGTACGGCAAATGAGATACGGCTGATTTAGCTTACAGCTGCAAACTTTTTTTTCTTGATGATATACGTTACACCTTGTGAGAGTGTTGTGAGTGTACGTAGTGATGTGACCACTTTGGCTGCTGGTGTTAAAATGTTTAAGTTGCTAGTGTTCCCCATTTGTTTGGGCTGTTAAAAATTTGCCGGCATCCTCTTTGATCAAGAAGAGGGACAAATATTTGGTTTGGGGGAGGTGGGGCAGAGGATGGATTACTTGTATTGCTGATCTTTCAGAGATTAGGAAAAATTCGGGAGGCAGAACTCACATTGGAAAGAGTCAATGTAGTGGGTCACTGTGAATGGGGTATATTTCACAGCCTACACTGAACTGAGTCTTGCAGAGCTGCTGCTAATTGAAGTGACTCTGCTGAATGAACATGCCATGCAATTTTATTATGCTGTTCTAACATGTCACTCATATTGATCCAGTGATATAACAAACCTTCAGGATAATCCCTCCTCCCAACATATTTGGTCAATCAATCCACGACTGTTTGTGGGACACAATTAGCAACCGTGATTCGCTCGCAAAACACACAGTCAATTCATTTTACAATATATGCTGTGAAGAGCTTCGAGACGTGATACAGCGCTATATCAAATGCAAGGATTCTTCTTTGTATTATTGTTATTATAATACGACGTTCTTCTGTTTCTTTCCGTTCCAGATAGATCTCCATGTACTGGGCACACCCCGGTATAATACCTTGCTCAAGTTTCATTCTTCACGGAAACAAATTACTCATACGTGCGAGTGTGCAAGAAAGGATCACGGCCCAAACTTGCTCTCACTCAATGTCCATGCATGCACACTTTCCAGTGGGGGTTCTCTGGATAGGGATCAGCAGTAGAAATCCTTCTCCATTTTGAAAATTTGTTTTGAAAACAAAACACAGCAGAGTAGTCCAATTACAGAAGGCAAAAAAATAGGCTTGCCTTTTGCTCGAGATAAACAATACAAACTTTTTTTAAAATACTGTACAGCCGGAGCAAGGAGGAAGATTAGATTTTTCACTGAATGTTTCAACATAAGAATTTCTGTACTGTGAATGCATCCTTCCCTTGTGATTGACAGAAACAGATTCAAGAGCGTCTTCTCATGCTTTTTATCTATCGGTCAGAAACCTGGCTCCAGACAGCTCTCTGCATGACAATGAAACCCTGGCAGCTGTCCGCAA